GTGGAATATCTACTGGAATCTGTTAACTGAGAAAATATATAATGACAAATGCTACTCATGCTATGCTACTATGCATTTAAATGAATTTATATTTTATTATCACAACAGCATATACATACATTTGAAAAACAGTAATACACAAATGAGAACCTGCAAGGACTCATAGGAAGTGTCTCAATTCCCCCTCCCCCACTATTTCCTCTTACCCTTTCCTGAAAGCCCCCATACCCTCTCTCCTTTCCCTGCTTCCTTCTCTCCTTCTGGGGTTTCTAATCTCCAGGTGGGGCCTGGAGAGCTCCTGGAATCAGAACAGATCTCCCAGCTACCGAGAGCTATTTGCCCTGAGGGTTGCCTGCTCCAGGTTGGGAAATTCCTGGAGATTTGGGGGCAGAGGTTTGAGAAGGCAAGTTTTGGGAAGGAAAGCAACCACAGCAGGGTATAATGCCATAAAGTCCACCCTCCAAAGCAGCCACTTTCTTCAAGGGATCAGATCTCTGTCATCTGGAGATGTTTCAGTTCCAGATTATCTCTAGCCCCCACCTGGAGGTTGGCAACCGTAGTTCCCCTAGAGGAAATGGCTGCTTTGGGATGGAGTCTATGGTATTATACCCTTCTGAGGGCTATCCTCTCCTTAAAACCCACCTTCCACAGACTCCACACCCCAAATATCTAGGAATTTCCTGACCTGGAGCTGGCAACCCTATTTCCTTTATTTGCTCCTGATGCAACTTTGGGCCTTCCCAGGCTGCCAGAGATGTGGGGGGAGCCAGAGAAGCCAACTGAGGGGCCCACAAGAAAGCTGCTGGCCAAGCAGCAGCTCCTTAAAGGGTGCAGCCACCAAAGCCTCTGATAAGGAAATCTTCTCCTGAGTAGGCAAGCAGCCCTGACTGAGCTGGTGCACACCTGGGGGCCTCAGGTGGAGGATGGCCTGGTGCTGCCTGCCTGAATGTTGGCTCAAAACTGTCAGGTTCAATAGAGCTGTTGCAGTCCACAACAATTCATAAGAATAGGTTGCTTTATTACAAGTCACTATTGATACTCTCACATAGTCATTGTCAAGAATGAAACTCAAAACCAAGCAGGGACAGATATAGACAGTTCAAACACACAGGATTGACCAATGAATACAGTTTGTGCGCAGCAGGAATTGAGCGGGAAAAAATCAAGGCGGGATATAGCATCCAGCCGTTTGAGTCACACCAGCCAGATTGGGAACGACTCCAGCAGCCGTTCTCACAGTCTTATCAGTCTTTTGGCCTTCCAAAGCCAAAACAAATGGCACCGTGGCACTGAGAGGAAATGAACAGAGAAATGCAGGCTAGTCCCCCCCCCCCCATCATACAGCAGACAGGTTACACAGAACATACCCAGAGCACGAATGGCAGTTTACTGACAAAAACAAACAGTCTCAGCTGGTGAGGCACAGGCACATTGCTGCAATCCAGCTGGTAGATGAAGCCCCTCAGGAGCCAGATCAACACAGGGTGGAGGAGAGCCTGGGTGGAAGACATAGGTGGGGGGGGGAAGGTGAAAACCTGTTCAAGCTGGATGGCTTTGTGGTCCCCTTACAATAGCTCTGTGCCCCCACAGGGGTCCCCAGCCCACAGGTTGGGAACCACTGATCTACAAGATGATGATAAAAGGATCAAGAGGAAGAAGTCACATCTCAGTGGAACCTAAAACCCCAATTTTCTTGCACAGCAACAAAAACAGTTAATTCTTCTGGCACTATACTCACCACTATAAGGCTTCCTCATAGAGGGATGTTTATCTTTCTGGGAAAATTACTGAAATTTTCTTTCTCTTCATTAGCAGATGTACTGAAATAAGACCTCTGGTTTCTGGTACCCATCAAGTGACATACCACTGAGAAAGAAACTTTAATAAAACGAACTACATTTACCTTGCAAGAGGGAATACTAAATGTACTTGTGCATTGCTTTTCTTTTGTCCTCATATGAGCTTTTGAAAAGCCAAATTCCATTATATTTTAATTAGAGTAGGTTCCAAAGCATAGTGCATGCCAGAGAAACTATGCATACAGAAGGAAAAAAATGTACTTGTTTCAAGGCATTGAATAAGAAATATGTTATTCAGACAATGCATCATTCACGTATGCTTGATACATTTCTGTGTACCACATACAATCTGTAAGAAGCAAGCAACTTTATTTAGGGGGGGAAACACACAAACCATGGATAAACTCAAGGCTCATTTTATCATCAGATTAAAGCACCATCTTTCCTTTACTGCTTTGTTTAGTTGTGCTGGGAAAGTAGGTGTCTTTTGTGACACAGGATATTCAATGAACTTAAGTATTGTTAAAATATTATACATAAAGCATTTGGGAGTATACTGTAAAGATATAGAACCTTACCTCTATGGTTTTAACAATATTCACAATGGTGTCAGTATTCATAGTTCAGTCACAAGATGTAAAAGAGGAAATACTTCATTAGGGTTCATTACAAAAACAGTGGTGTTGAAACATGCCCTGGAGAATACACTACACTAGATCACAAAAACTTCCACTAAATTCTTCTACCCAAAACCATACTAAGCAAAAGTGAAAGCTCTACTGTCCTGATAATCACAATGATCAAGAAAAGCCTGACCAAGGAAATCATATAGCCTTGAAATCTGGCTTGTGTGACTTTTTAAAATTAGTTTTAAGTGGAAGAAATGGGAAGGCTTTTCCCCTACATTTTTCCTGACTTACCCAGAGACCATGGATTGCAGTAATATAGATTCTCTATATGTGAATTAGTGCTGCCATCTATAGTTAGTTACAGGGCATGCACCATGCTCAGTTCAATCAAGGAGTGCCCCATCACATAATCATGCAATTTCTAGTCAATGAATACATCTGGATGAGGAAAGGCAGTGCAGTGGGAGTGCAGGCTTTCTGCAGGGGACAGCAATGTTGTTTAACAACAGGATAGCTCTGTGCACATGCACAAAAGAAGTACACTAACTTTTGAAAGAACCTTGGAAGCGGAGATAAAACACACGATGTCCTGGCTCAGAAAGCGTCTCATTTCTAATGTATTGCTTGTTGATTAGTCCTGCATTAGTGTTGTAAAGTGAATGTTAATGCAGCAATGTCAGGTAGGGTTGCCAAGTCGACTTACCTGCAAAGCGGGGGGATTCCTGGCTCCCCGGAAGTGATGTCATCGCGTCATCAACGCTGGGGGCGGGGCACCATGACACGAGGAAAAACCATAGAGTTTTCCCTCGATTCACAGAATGTCTCCCCCACAACATTGACAGAGTGATGATGTCACCTCCGGGTGACATCATCACACTGGGAACACCCTCCGGCAGGGGGTGGAGTTCCCCCCGGGGCCCGATCCGCTGGCGGTGGGTAATGGGCCTCCCGGGCGGGAATTTACCCGTCCCCAGCGGGGGCTTGGCAAGCCTAATATCAGGCAAAGCACCCCTGTGTCTTCCCAAGGGTTAATTTGAATAGTAACAGGCCTATTCCAGCTTGCAGCTGTCAGTAACTGGGCCTTTCTGCCTACACCGTTCTTATCACTTTCAAGACTGGAGTCAAGAATGTGGTAATTAGCTCTTCTTGGGAACCTGTGGTCCACTGAATGTAAGGGGGGAAGCAGGAGTATTGTAATCTTCTAGAGGGTTCCAGAGAGAAGAAGAAGAAGATGAGATCGGATTTCACTACCCAAAAGTGTCTCAGAGCGGCTTACAATCTCCTTTCCCTTCCCCTCCCCACAACAGACACCCTGTGAGGTAGGTGGGGCAACAAACAGCTTCATAGAAAACGCGTAAGCTTCTGTCTTGGACACTGAGACTTTAAGATTGTGCTACTGAATACCAGGTATGGTATCAATGTATTATATAGAAGAATCAGCTTCTTTGTTTTCAGCTGTATGGCTTTAAGAGTTTGTGTTGCCTAGTGATGAATTTATTTTTTAAATATTTAATAAACCCCATATATTTTTATCAGAGTCTGATTTATTGTGTACAGCTAGCCATGGGAACCCTCAGGATCCAGGCTTGGACTCCTTGACAAGCAAACATTTTTTTAAATTTATTCATTCATTCCCATAGCTCAGTGTTCAATATATAGCAATTAAAACCACAATTACATATTATACAACAATTAAAAAGTCCTCAGAACAAGAAAATTCACATAATCCACAACCAGCCTGAACAAAGCTACTGAGAACTCAATACAAGATTAAAATAAACTGATCTTAACCAGAATTAACCAAATGTCCTCTCTGCAGGCCCTTTTGGAAGCTGGAAGGGAGAAAACCTTCCCTACCCTATTAGGGAGCCCATCTCATGAGGAAAGGCAACAAGAGAGAATACTTCTGTGCATGTTCATGACAAATGGGCTAGACACAGAAGGGGCACTGACAAGAGAGGGAAAGTAGCTGATCGGAGCTTGCAAGCAGGCTTATAAAGAGAAGCCAGAATGTGTCAGAAGGCAGAAAAAAATTAAGAAGAATGTGTCAGAAGGCAGCAGATAGTCTTTTTTTGAATTAGACAACCTCACAAGGGGTTTGCTCATGACAAATAAAAATTAGTCTGAGTTGACTTCTACTGATAAATGGCCCTCTCATTCATACTGAAGACTCCGTCCAGTTGATACTTGTGCAATTCACACAATCACTTTCTACAAGACATCATGTCACCTTTGATTACACTAACCTGGTAAAGAGTTAAATTTTCCTAGTTAAAAAGTACTGCTATTTGAGTATTTGGGAAATGCAGTATCTTTGCAATAGAAGTATAGCCTTAAAGGATAAAGACTGGATCATCACATCAAATAAAAGCCACTGACACATGTACCATACGTTTACCACGCAACCCTAAACAGAGCCCTTTTAAGTCAATAGGCACAGAAGGGTGTAACTTTGTTTAGGGTTACATGGTTAGTATGCAAAAACTCCAGTAATTTGGAAGGGGGCCCAAAGCAGTGCATACAAATGTGAACAGAACACATATGATATATTCATCAGAAAGGTCCGCTGTACCTGGAGAAGCAACTCTTTTTCAACCACTTCTTCTGTCTTGCTGATAAGCCGTTTCTGCAGTGCATGTATCTTCTGTATCAGCTCATAGGTACTTGGGTCACTAGCCTGCATAAAATAAATACAATTTTTAGTCATAAACTGCCTTGTAGCATGTGCCTGATTATTTGTAACTGAAAAGCAGAATAGATTCTTGAGCAAGCATGACCAGTCTTCTTACAGAATGCAGCTAGATTTCAACATGAATGGATTAGTTGGAAAAAAGAAATTCATAAGGCAATCATGAGATCATCAGTGAGGAAATATGGCACTGTTCATGCTACCAACCGGGACAGTATTAAGTTCAAATTGCTCCCATAAAGACAATCATAGAGTTCTGCATATGTACTTTATTTAGGACTTTTAGTATCACTGCTTAGTGCTTCAGTGATGAAATAACTTGTGCACAGTCACATAGTATATTATCTTCATTAGGTATTTTGTCTTCTGACCAGTTCTAATACCAATTGTTTTTAGCATTCATACTACATTTTTATGTTCTGGTACTTATAGAATTCATAGGAGGCAAAGAGCTGTGTTATCAGAATGCTACAAAGTGACTTTCATCAATTACTACCAGAGGTGGTCCTTGCATGGAAAATTGTGTTGACATGCACATTGTCCCAGCACAGTATCAACAATGATCAACATTAGAGTTGTTTGCCCTGGAGCATCTGCCAATTAGCTGTAGGGCAGCCTGTTCAAACTGAAAGTTTAGCCACTGCAACTTACTGTAAGACAAATCTCCTGTGACAGTAAGGTCCCAGAAGCAAAGGCATTCATATAACAATGCAGACAACTACTGGGCTCTCTAGCATGCAGAGAAAGCCATTATAAGCAGCGTTATACTGGCTTCAGGGAAGAGAAACAGCAAATAGTGTGTGGGGGATGAGATGCTCCCCTGCAAGTCCACGCAGGTCTCCTGCTTGTTTATTACAGACTGTGTGACCACAAGTGTGCCACTTACTAATAAAGAACTCATAGCAACCTGTGTTTGGTGGATTATTAATCAATATGCCAATTATCAGTAGTATTAAGTTGTATATTTTCAGTCATACAAATGGCTTTTCTTATACTGGCTCTTTGATCTCTCACTCTAAATTCTGACACAGTTTTTTTCTCTTTAATTATAAAAGGCTGCTGACCGCTACAGTGGTGTACCAAAGTCCAGTGCCTTATTGTTTCCTCTAACCGTGAATAATAAGCATTTGTTTATATGACAAAAAGAAAAGGGGTGAGTTCAGGGACACCATGGAAGGAGGCGGAGAATAAATCTGATCCCCATGAATAAACCTGATCATCATAACACCAGTATCTATGAAAGGAGACGATTCTATTATTAAATGTATGGAATAGCCTGTTCCTTGGGCTCAGGTCAGGTCAAAGTAAATATTTACCCCGTATACCAATCACTCAGCCTTTCATTTTTAATTGAACAATCACCTTTTTAAATATGTGATGGATGTTACAGTTCAGAATCCCACATTCTATTTACTTTCAAAGAGAATATGCCAGAATATAGCTTAAACTTAACATAAAAATATCAGACTTGGCTACCAGACAAGTACTAGCAGCCAAAACATTTACTTGGGTTTCTTCAGGAACTTGAATATTATGACTACTAATCTGGAAGATCAGCTGAGCCTGAGCATCAAAATGTGTGCAAGACAGATCTTGCCTGAGTAACATCCAAAAGTGCTATTTCTGCTCATAGATTTGGTCAACATTTTACAGATTTTTTTTCTTGGTTTCAGTCTGGCAGCTAAGGAGATTACAATGCTTATAATTCAACATACACAATGCTATATTTTTTTTTTACCCAGGTTCATCCCCCCGGAAAGTACACTTTCCCACTTTGCTTTATTTGAACATCTCTCTTCACCATTCTCATCTTTGAAAATAAAAGGGTCATTCCTTCTCTTATGTGATACCTTCTTTGAACAGTTTCTTCATCTCTCTGTCCAAGCTAATCAGCTCTTTCTCTTTCACTCTTGCCCTCAGATCTGTATCTCACCTACAGACCTCCCTATCCTCTTTAGGTTTTGATCAGTTCTCATTTCACAAAGCTTTCTGCAGTCACAAGTAACCCCAAATGCACTGTGCGTACAAAGCTTTTCTGCCATTAACCATCACATATCCCATGGAAATTTTAACCTGTCTGCCCTCCTTGATGTCGATTTGCATAGCATTAAAATAAAATATACTTTGTACCATGCTACTGATATGAAGATCTGTGCTATTTGACATCTGATATAAAGTATCACTGTACCTCCAGTTTTCTCCATCTATGAACATTCATGGGATTCTCCAGCTCTTCCTCCAGGGCTCTACAGCGGGTCCTTTCCTTCAACAACTCTTTCTGCATGTGATAAACCTCCTGTCTTCAAAGACAGCAACACAGAGAAAGCACCATGACCTCTGGAAACAAACCTCACAGCAGTATATTAATGAAAGAGATTCATGTGACCATCCAATCATTCTCTTGGCCCAATTATTCCCCCCCCCCATATTTTTAACAATAGTTGAAATCACTCAAGCCAAATAGACCCACCATTTAGAAGCATTTCAAAACCTAATGCTATTTTCAGACATCACATTTTGCTTCTTGCCAAAAAGTGGTGGTAAAACTTCCCCATCTATTCAAGGCAGTCATTTAGAAGACCAATATGCAGAACAGTGTAATGGTTTGCCACAAAGGATTTTTTGCTTATACAACCAGAAATTGGAATTGCCATGCAGTAAAACGAAAACCATTAAGACCGGCAAGTATTATTTGAGACTGGAGGTCAGAGGACTGGCCGGTGATGATAAAATAGCAATAAACTGTCCAGATGTCATATTTATTCCTTGGCACCTGCTATCTCAAGGAAGCAAACACAATGTCCCAAAAGCAACCTAACTGATCTTACTGTTGAGAATTTGCCCAACATTCCATCTAACTGAACTATGAAATTGCAGCACAGAATGTTCACTAAAGGACACAAAACTCAGGCTGTTTCAAAATAAGCAAACTATGGAAGTTTAACATAGTAAAGAAAATAGAAAAGGCACTGTTCCGCTTGGTATTTGGAGAATGCCACCAACATAAGCACTATGGAAGAATTCCACACCATGTACCTTTCTATTAAGGTTAGGTGATTTACATAATATGACAAATAATGCCAAAAACATGTTACATGTACACCTGAAAATTTAATGTGCATGTCTGAGAAAATAACATTTTCAACCATGTGTTTCCTACAGGGCCAGATGTCACAGAGCTGGCTGTGAGTCTCTGTTGCATTAACAAACACACATTTTCAATTTGTACTGTGGATGGAAAGGCAAATTCCAAGAGCACTAACAGCAGTACCTCTTAAAACAAATGATAAAACAGTCTTGTTTAGTAGTTCTACCTATAGTTTGGGATTTCATTAAAACACAGATTTATATGCGCCATAAACACAAATTGATCTAGTCAGATCTCTGAAGATAAGCAGGGTCAGCCTAAGTTAGAAGGCAGGCAATGGCAAACCACCTCTGTTTGTCTCTTGCCTTGAAAACCCCATGAGGTCACCATAAGTCAGCTGCAACTTGACAGCTCTTTCCACTATCACTCAGCCAACCAGCCCAATACATTAGAGCAGTAGATTACTTAGCATTCATCACAGCCAACAAATATATGCCACAACTTTTAAGCATCCTAAGAAGCAGACTTCACAAAGAATAACAGACTATTAGGCCTGGAAGAGACTGAAAAAGCCATCTACAGTTTCTGCACCAAGACAGAATGCTTTATACATTAACCCGTCTACCTTTCCTACAGATAATAGTCACCATTAGCCAATCTGATTGGGGGTGGGAGTAGGGTTGCCAGGTGCTTACCATCTGCTGGGAGGGGGCTCCAGGCTGTTCCTTGGGATCTTCTGGCACATGCGCAAAGCACCCCACCCTCAAAGATCCCCACCAGGCCGAAATGCCCGGCATGATGATGTCACCTGGAAATGATGTCATTGCACTGGGCACGTCATGCAGGGGACACTGTAGCATTGGGCCAAAAACTCTATTGTCACCATAGAGTTTTTCGCCAAATGTTAACATGTTCCCCACACAATGTGCCTGGCGTGGTGGGGCTCTTCAGGGGTGGGGTTCCCCCTACCGGCCAGCTGGTCAGTGGTGGATTGGGGTCCCCAAAATTGGGGAAATCATCCCCATCAGGGTGATGGCAACCCTAGGTGTGGGGAGGAATAATTTGTTACCTCAAATATAATAAGCCAACAAATAGAAATTCATAGCACTCTAACATAAATCCTCAGTAAAAACATCCAATTACCAATCGTGCCCTCCTAAGACATTTTCAAGAAGAAAACAACTTTGATTTCTATAGTGACTACTGGCATTATTAGCTTCAAACCTGCCATACAATGCACTTCATAGTTACCTCAGACTGAACTCCTATGCTTTTTCACTAGGGGGTGATTTCCACAAAATTCGGTGAGATCTACTTTTCAATAAACATGCTTAAGATCACATTATTTTTATTACTTATATGTTGTATGTGTACATACCTGATAATGAGCAGTGTTTCCATTCCATGCAATGAAAAGTTCCATGAAATTTTGCACTACTTTACCAGCAGAAATTTGCTCAATGAAATGTAACTCCTTAACTGTTTTACTGTTCCTATAGTGTGGGACTAAAAGAACAACTCTTTCCAGCAAACCGTATTAATGTCTGTGAAGTTTAGCCACAAGCATAAATCTTACTTACCAGAACAGAACTAAATCCTCCTTTGCCAAATCACTAAAGTACTAAAACTCACAGTCCATTTCTTCAGTCTATTTTCTTACAAGCCCACAGTGACCATATAACAATGTTTTCCCAAAAGAACAAAATAAGTCTTATGTATAGTGAGATTTTTTTTTCTATTAAAAAACCCATATTACTCCAAAGAAAGGAGGGATAAATCTAGCAAGGCCCATAAAATTTGGCTCTCAGGTAAACACAATCTTCAATGAAAATTTAAGCAAATCTTTCTCCTAGATCAAGCCACCCTATAAATCTGGACAGGCGTAAAGTTAAGAACATATTAGAGCTCGCTATAAATATGTCAAATATTCTGTTTCCAATATGAATTGCCTAATATAAAGCAGTTCCACTAATGTGGACCCTGGACACCTCTAAGTAGCTCACTGAACCGTGAACACCTTTCCCACAGCTATCAAACTTGTACTATCAGTAACTGACAGAATAAGGTAAGATTTGAAAATATGATAATTTGCTACCAGAAACTTTCCCTTGCAACACTATTCTTTTTTTCTTGGGTACCAAGTGGCTGATTTTATTTTTAAAAAAACCTAAATCTAGTATGTGTATGAGGTCATATGAAGCAAATCCTATTTTGAAATAATTTGTATGTCAACCCAGATCTGCCATGCAAGAATACAAGTGCTCCCCTGTGTCTCGAACACAATGTCATGGATGCAGCCAGAAGCCAAGTGAGTTCATTCTACCTGAGTTCTTCCACGTTAGCCACACTTTTGCCAAGTATTCCTTTCTCCCGTCGAAGTTTCTTGATCTCCAGCTTAAGCAGCCGGATGTCTTCTACTCTTTGCCGATATTGCATTTCCCCCTTATTCAGAATTGACTGCTGGATTTTAATCTTCTCATACAGAAGAGCCAATTCATCATTGCGGCGAACCAACTGGCTCCCCAGGATGTCTCTCTCACTAATAACCTAGAAATGAGGCATGCCAAGGCAAAATTCTGAAGATGGAATGAAAGCATGTTAACTGTCAATCATAAACAGCATTTAAGGGCTGCATCTTTGTTATCAAAAAAGCAGAACCTTGAAAAGTTGTATTTCATCAGTAAATTTTTAAAAATTAATTATGAGGGCCTACATCTCGTCTACAAAAATTACTGATGAGGGCTAGCCAGATCCTTACCCAGAGTTAAAGTGGAATCGCTCCATTCTACATTTTCAATGAGCTGATGTCATTTTAGCTTTTAATTTACTAATTCTGGGTAAAGAAAGTGAACAGTGACCGCCATATTAGAGTTATCCCATTAAAAACTGTCCCTGCTATCTACCTGGTCTAACTCTTTCTTCTGTCTCATCCTCTCTGCATCAGCCTCAGAAATAATTTTCAAGAGTTTTCTTTCTTCCTCTTCTTGTTTTTCAATAAAATGTTTAGTCTCCAGAGCTTGTTGTCTCATTTTAAGTAGTTCACTCTGATAGAAACAAAAGAAACAGGAAAAGAAATTGTGTTTAGCAACAGCTTCCCATTTCATAAACCTGGGAATTTAGAATGATTAAGATTTAGACACAGACTTGTACTTTTGTATCATTTCTCAAGTTTTGCTCAATTCAGTTTTTGTTGGAGCTCAGCAGCAAAACTGAAGTACTGTGCAAATGCACACACAAAGCTCTATAAGGAAAGGTTGTAAACAATAAATGCAATATCTTTGCATTATGAGTCTTATGTGGAAGAAATGTCTTTGTGGATAAAGTTCAATATATAATTCTCAAATATTTTTCTGCTGCAGAAAAGGTGGCCAGTTAAGTGGCATAAAGAAATAATACCATCCTATCTGTTTAGGTATTACATTTATTCCATTCATCCTTCAAGGAGCTCAGAGCTCCATATTTCTCCTCCCCATTTTATACTCCCTGTATCTCATATTGGGCGAGACAGTGTCATCCTAAGCAGAGTGACATCCTTCTAAATTCACTGAAGTAAATGGGCTTAGAAGGGTGTAACTCTGTTTAGGATTGCACGGCGAGTAACCCAACCTGATACCAATAAATGGGGATGCATGTTTTGTCCCATGAGAGAAAGCATTACAACAAACAAAAAGATAAAAGCATGACAAAGTATATGTAGCTAAGGAAATGTAAGAAAACATAAACAAATATTCTATTGCACTAATAAAATACCTTGTTCCTCTATTGTTTTCTTTAATAAAACTTTTATTTTCTCATGTGCACACTATTTGCACCTCACTTCCTCAGTGTTTCTGAGGAAACTCCACCAGCAGAATAAAAATGTATGCTGCTTGATATTAAAATGCAATTAACAGTGTGTAAAAGTGGCTGCCTGAGAATGTAAAACTGCTCATGTGTTCAGCCTTGCTGTATAACTTCATAGACAGATAGCTAAACACACCCCAAACTGTATTGTTCTCTTTGTCAGAAAAAATACAAGCTGTAAACAAGATGTAGTTTTAGATGTTGGTAGGAGCCACTGACATAATCCAATTCCCTGATTCACATGCATTGTGCATGTAAATCGAAGCTGTCTTATAAAGTAAAAGCTCTAACCATGACAGTGAACCCAGGAGCACCAAGACTGTGCCAGAGGTCTGAGGGGTACAGATATTCCGGAGAGTTTGTCCAGAGGCTGGCATAAAACTAAATATAAGGGGCAGGATCTAACACATAGGGCCTTCTCAAACATGAAAAACACAGTGCATAAATGAAGATTCCCCATTTCACATACAACCATGCTCTTGCTCATAGGGGCAGAAAGGTGGGTAGCCATTGTGTACATAGTACACTTCTGAACCACTGGATCCTGGGCAAAAAGCTGAAAACATACCTATGGTTCATACATATACATTATAAACGCTATAGCCAAATTGGAATCAAGAGTTGTTTGGTTTATCAACAAAACAGAAACACACACACAAACTCCAACACTGTTAGACCAGTTGCCAAATTTTAAAAAAAATAAAAGCCAGACATTTATATATTTACTAGGAATCAGGCCCACTGTGGAAATAAATACAACAAGCTCTAGAAAGAGGCTCTGGGCAGGTGCTCGGGCCTTGGGCGCTCAGCGTCAATTTGCTGTGGTAACCTCAGCAGGGTATAATGACACAGAGTCCACCGTTTTCTCCAGGGGAAATAATCTCTGTCAATTGAAGAGCAGTTGTAATTCTGAGTGATCTCCAGCCCTCACCTGGAGATTGACAACAATTGTTCCCCAGCAGAAAATGGCTGGTTTGGAGGGTGGAGTCTATGGCATTGTACTTGTCTGAGGTCTCACCCCTTCTCAAACCCCACCTTCTCCAGGCTCCACCCCTTGAATCACCAGGAATTTCTCAACCTGGAGTTTGCAACCCTATCTCCTTCCCAGCCAACCTTCAGCCTATCTTTATCTGCCCCTCTGATTTTAGCTTTCAATCTCCTGCCCCCTCCCTGCAGCTTCTTCCTAAGAAGAGTACAGTCTTTCTCCACAGTTGGGACAAAAGCAACTCACATCATTCTCCTCTCTCTCTTTTGATCTGCACAACAACCCTGTGAGGTAGATTAGGCTGAAAGTCTGTGACTGGTCCGAAATCACCCACTCGACTTCCACAGCAAGAACCTGGGTCTGGCAGACCCTGCTCTGAAGCGCTAACTGCTACATCACTCTGGCTGTCATAGGGCGGTCACTTCAGCAGTGTATAATGACACAGAGTCCATCATTTTCTCCAGGAGAACTGATCTCTGCCATCTGGAGAGCAGTTGTAATTCTCAGTGATCTCCAGCCATCACCTGGAGATTGGCAATAGCGGTTCCCCAGGAGGAAAAGTACAGTCTTTCTCCACAGTGGGAACAAAAGCAGCTTACATAATTCTCCTCTCCCCCTTTTGGTCTGCACAACAACCCTGTAAGGTAGGTTAGGCTGAAAGTCTGTGACTGGTCTGAAATCACCCACTCAGCTTCCACAACAAAAACCTGGGTCTGGCAGACCCTGCTCTGAAGTGCTAACTGCTACGTCACATTGGCTGTGGCCGGTAGAGAGAACATGGCGGCAGATCGGTGGCAGATGGCAGGTGACTTGGGAGGCGATTGGAGGCGGCGTGGAGGCACGGTGACGTAAGCACGGTCAGAGCCCCCGGGACAAGAGACCAGTTGCGACCTCATCGTGCAGCCGCGCGCCATAAAAGGACCATCCCAGGAAGTCAAGCTGAAGAGATGGAAAAAAGACCCCCGCTGAAGGACACTACCACCTGGTCCTAGCAAGACCCCGCTACAGAAAGACCTACGTTGCGTAGGTGCCTGGTAAGGCATCCATCTCCCCTGATATGTATGTGGCCCTAGTTAGGCGATTAAATCTATATGTGTAAACCGCTCCGAGCTTCCGGGAAGGAGCGATATAGAAATGTAATGTAATAAATAAATAATAAATAAATAAATAGCCTGGTATCACAACTGAACTCCAGACAACAGACCTCTCTCTCCCCTTGGAGAAAATAACTGCTTTGGAGGAGGGACTCTATGGCATTCCATTCAGCTGAGGCCTCTCCCCTCCCCAAACTCTGGCTTCTGTAGACCCCACCACAAAATCTCCAGGAATTTCCCAATCTGGAGCTGGCAACCCTAGTCAGGACTGGCCCCAATGAGTTCCCCACAAAGGCCAAAGTAGACCTGGAAAGAACCTTCTCCCCCCGCCTTTTTACTGACCAGAACCCAGTTTGGTTGCCTAGCAACATCCACTGAGGGGAAAGTGAGCCACACAGCAGGAGGAGAAGAGAATGGTTTGATGGCCCCTGGCACACCTCAGTAGCCAGCCAGTCATGGAGGAGCCAAGCAGTAGAAGCATCTTTGTCAGGAGAGACAGCTGTTTTGGCAGTTTATTCTGATAGGGAACAGTGGCCAAGCTGACAGTGGGCGGGAGAGAGGAGCGGATGCAGCACCCAGCTGATGGCATGCGAGTACTCTTGAGTGGTAGTTGATGAGCTAATGGCTGATGGAGCACGCAGCACAGACAATGGGAGAGACGGAAAGTGTCAATACACCATGGCTTCAATATATAATAGATAACATACATACATACATACATTTATTTATTTAAAACATTGGCCTGGTTGCCAGATCTTTCAAAGTAAAGCCAGAATACTTTGAGTAAAACTCAGCAACATTATTTAATTTAGTGTGCCTGCTCTACTTTGGATTAGGCATTTGCACTAGGGTACCACATTGCTGGATTCAGCTAGGGTTGCCAGCTCCAGGTTGAGAAATACCTGGAGATTTTGGGGGTGGGGCCTGAGGAGGGTGGGGTTTGGGGAGGCGTGGGGGCCTTATGGGCTATAATGGCATAGAGTCCACCTTCAAAACAGCCATTTTTTCTGGGTGAACTGATGTCTGTTGCCTGGAGATCAATTGTAATCCTAGAAGATCTCCAGCTGCCACCTGGAGATTGGCAACCAGACAAGCAGTCCCAGAATAACATTATTGGACATAAAGCTACACTCCTTCCTTCTCCCTGTTCTTGCCCAAGAGATGAAGGGGAATCTGAGTTCATGTGACAGTAATTTCCCCACTTGGCCCCTGCCTCCTGTTCTACAGGCTAGCCACCAGTCAAGCTGTGTTCTTCCTCTTTCTACCCAAGTCACAGATAAGGATGGTGTGCATCTGAGCATGTGCATGTTCTGCTCCCCACACACACACACACACCCTGGCCACCTAACTCTTTGTAGCTCAGTCAGGAGTTTCTGGTCTATGCATGGAATGAGTAGTCAACTGCATGGGTGAGATTTTTTTACCACAGTCTGAAAAATATATTTATTCACTAAAATAAACTTCCTGTTAAGTACAGCACAAAGCATGGATAAACTATGCTAAAATATTACAGGGTATTACAGACTAAGAAAAATAACATAAAACATACGAGGGTAACCAGGTTATTCAGCCACTGGTGTTACCTCTGCATCCATTCTTTGGGATGGATGTAATCTAGCAAGAATTCTAAAAACAGAGGCTGGTAAAAACAGACTTAACTCTATTTGCTCCCTGTTCCTGGTTCTTAGCTTGTGTGCTGCTGGCTGAGTATTCAAACCTTTTAACCCTGTCCCAGCTGGGAGTATTAAACTTTAATGTGTCATGACACTGGACACAGATCCCCATGTGTACCTTTCCTCCAATCAAATCAAGGCACACACCCCAGTCTTGATGACCCCACCCACTATATCCAAATAGCTATCTATCTTCCCTCTTCTTGGGAGGTGGGCAAATGGTCATTCCCATCCTGCCAATCTGTATCCATAAAGGAAACCTCGTCTCCTCCAAGCCTGCAACATGAAAAGTTTGTAGTTCTATTACCAGAGAAAGAATATTTTCTCTTACGATCGAGGCCTCCCTGAATATTAATTAAGGGATCCTGCATCTCTCTATTGCAACACCTGTTTCCTTCATAGCTACCCTGTTGAAATAAGAGAAGAAAGGTAGGAAGTTGAAGAGGAAC